AAGGTTACTTGCTTTTTCTTAAACATTGTAAAGGGAACCTACAACATTTTTTATTTTCCATTATATTATTTAATTACTTTCTTCTAGTTTAGGTAAGAGTTTCTAAAAACTTCACAGGAGTGATGTGGTCACAGACACTTACGTACAATTCTGAAAAGACTGTTCCCACTACTTATGCCTTTAAACCTCACATATTATCATTCTGTATGCAATATTAAACTATATTAATTATAGGTTTATTCTACAGTTAAGATGCAGAATATGCATGAAACACTATCCTCTTATTTAATATTTGTACAGTTCATGGATTTATTCACTGGAGTTCATGCATGAGTTGACAAAGTACCACAAATGAAAAAATAAGCCAATCAAACCCTTTTGCTTTGACATATTGTGATGTTTAATGTCCATCCATATAAAACCTTACTTATTAAACAAAAATTAATAAATTACATTAATGTAATAGCACCCCTTTCTAATTATAGTGTTATTCATGTGATATAAGTACATCCAATAAACACCATACTTTGACTTCTCCAACATTTAATATTGAACCTATTCCTAAATGCTTAATGTACTTGGCCAGAATTTGAAGTTAAACAAATCAAAAAAGCTGACTGTAAATCTTAACAACCTGCAGTAAATCATTTACAAATATAGAAAAGAATATATGTTTAATTTTTAAAGAATGGACTACTCAAGTAGTGCTAGAAGCATAAAACAAGTGTGTGATTTATTGTCAATTTATATTTCAAACAATAAATTACGCACAGTCAATATAAAGCAGCTTTTAAATTCAAAATAGTTCAAAATTTCAAATATTTTAAGAAACATATTTTGGAAGCCAAGTTAATTGGACATAAGCACAAGTATCTGTATTCTGTATTTAGTTAAATGTGTTTCAATTTAAACCCACACATTCATAATGTATATGCAACATCATTTACACTACAAAAATGAACTAAAGTAATTTAAAAAAAAAGTGTACAATTTTGTATTATCATACAAATATTCACATTCTCAGGTAGGTGTCATATCATCTAGACATCAGGATATACATGTATTGTAATGACAATTTTGTATTATCATACAAATATTCACATTCTCAGGTAGGTGTCATATCATCTAGACATCAGGATATACATGTATTGTAATGACAATTTTGTATTATCATACAAATATTCACATTCTCAGGTAGGTGTCATATCATCTAGACATCAGGATATACATGTACTGTAATGACAATTTTTTCCACAAGATACAATAGAATAACTTTGAAAATGAGCAGTCATACATCAAAACAGAATAATAAATAGAAATGTAATGAAAGTTTTTATCAGTAAACAATGATTTTTAATTCCATAAAAGCACTGAATACATGTGAATGGTTTTAGAAAAGATCTTATTAGTTGTCAATGTTTATTCTCTTCTTTTTTTAAGAAAGTATACAATACACTTCACAAACACAATTTTCACAACTTTAATTAGTGTTACAATAGTTTTTAGCAAAAAAATTACAAATTAAATATCAACCCAAAGAATAATAAAATGACCTGAAACTGTGCTTTATGCCTTGGTAATATTGTCTAATTATTACATTAATAACTGAAATATACTGAAGTTGTACTATCAAAACCTGTAGTTTTTGCAAATTTATAAAGCTCTGTCTAGACACTATTACATTTGATGTTTATTAGCTTTATTGTTAGAAGCATGTTTCTTTGTTCAAGGTATCTGTTTCTAGTCATTTCAACTGTATTTTATTGATCTTTTGCTTTACAAAACTATTAATGTAACCAATTAATGCCTTAATTTACACGTTTTGTTTTTCACAAAATAATTACGTCCACCTACGAAAAATATATAGTCATAAAATATTAAAAATGCAACATTCCAATGAAAAAAAATTATATTGCACGAGTAGTATTTTATAGCTTATGAAGATTTAACCCTGTGTTAGTCTTCTGTAAAAATTTTCCATAGTCACTCCTCCGGGGTCCAAAAAATCTGTTCAGATGCTTTACAGATAAAATCGTTAATACCTCACCTGTCTACGATACTATCCTGTGTTTTTTAAAGTGACTAAACTTTATTAAGACTTTGAAAATTAGTATGCAACAAAAATGCTTTCCTGGAGTTCACTCTCTCAAGGAAATATATATTAATATTAAAAATGAGTTTTACTGTAAAAGTATATAACAAGCTGAGAAATGTTCATGTGGGAGCTTCTGTATGTAGGCAAAACTTTATTAAATAGTAATTAAAAGCAACTGAAGAACAATCAGTTCAACTCAGCCATAATAAACTGCAACTATTAAGTACTTAATAATGAAAAGGGTGTTTCCTATCATACAAGTGTATTGTTCTTGCCAAGTTGAACTTTTTTTTTTCAATCACACTTTTATTTCTTAAATCTGTCACAAGTCACCTTAGATGTCATTTACTCATTCTGTGAAATTACAGTGAGAATATCCATAGAATTATTGTATTGTTTAAACAACTTGTATCACCTAAATCAAAACCAACTTTTTTTTTATAACACATGAATCCTGGGTTTCTTTCTTTAATTGACCAAAGCTTTACTCCTTGGATAAGTACTGTTTATCAACAAGAAAATGACTCTCTGAATGCAACTGATGGACTATTTTGGACTTGGAGTCAATACCTAGTTCCCCAAAAGTAAGTAAAATTGATGTTGTAAAACATATTCAGTGATAAGAGAGGCTTTAATGAATCAACAAACTCTTAGACTTTATAAAACAATAACAAAGAACTTAAAAATGGAGACTATCACTCAACTTGCCAAATGACTAAATTCACAAAATTTATTTCCTTCACAAAAAGTATTAATCACAAGCAAGAAGTCATAACGTTTTTTCCAGAAACTTCATAATCAGCCTTTTGCTGATATTCAACTCAACAAAGCTAGTTTATTTAAAGAGTACAAATAGCTTGGATGAAATCACATACAGCCTGAAAATAAAACTGAAAAACTTAGAACAGTTTCATGATATACAGTACTGATGATATTTCCTATGCCTTAGGTTGAAAATATTTATATCAGGAAAAATACAAGCTTTTTGCCACTGTAGCCAATAATAAAACAAAGAACTAGTTTATAAACAGAACACACTTTTCAACTTCCTTATTTACAAAAAAATATCCTTAGAGCATAGTTAACATTTTTCATTTGACACATACTATATATAATACTAAATTTTATGCTAAAAATTAATGACTAAGGTTTAATTTAAAAAGTAGGCTTAGTATAACGTTATATAAATATGAAGCCTTCTCTGACCTTCAAGTAATTTTCTCTAAATGCTGCAAGAAAATGTAAAGCCTTGGACATACAAACTCAGACCTCTCAGTTCTTGTACCACAGTGATAATAACTATATTCAAAGGAAACGCTGTTGTTTTTTGTTTATATATATATATATATATATATATATATATATATATATA